TTTTAGAAAAATTAAAAAGTAGTTTTTTTAATTCAAAAAACCAACCACCCAAAAAACCCACCCATTTGTGAAACCCATTTAAATAAGCCCAGTCTAAAATTAGGCCCAATCAAAAATTTCAAAAAAGGATAATCTGGACTTTACAATTAGGCCCAAGCCCAAGCTCAAATCCTAAACTCAGCTTATTTAAATTTCAATTTGTTTCAACATTTTTTTTCATGTGGGACAAACACTTCCCACATTTTGCATACTCATTTAAGCTTATCAAAACACCACACTTTGGAGCTAATTCTCATTCATTCGGAAACGGTTTCAGAAAGTAAATATATCACATTCATCTCCTTGCGGAGAGAAACGCGCTTATCTAGAGATCTGTAAAAAATTATTAGCGAAATCTATTTCAAATCTCATCCAAAGTTTATGTTTTTAATGCCCTCGTTTCCAACAAGCAAGTCGTTCAATCTCTTCCATGTCTCATGAAAAAAATTCCCTTCCCCTTGTGAGAATTCAAGAATGGAAGTTCTCATTGAATTAGTTTTTGATACCAGGTAATACTTTTTCAAGAACTCTTGTTACATCTCTGCCCAAGAAGTTATCGAAAAATGCCTTAAATTATTAAACTAGTACTTCGCTTTTTTTTTTTTTTTTTTTTTATGGGTGAAAGGAAAAAGTTTAAGTTTTATTTACCAAGTAGTTAAATATATAAAGATTAGTGATCTTATTTTAGTTTACATTCACTTATTATTATTATTATTATTTTTTTTTTTTGTCAACTTTTTATTTGTCGTTCAACTTGATGCTCTTCCTCTGTTCTGTGTTACTTGAAGTTGTTAACCTCATCTATTATTTCTTCATACTTAAAAGTTTTGTTCTTATATCTAATATATATATATATATATATATATAGAACATTTATGCAATTTCAGGGGCTGGGTTTTCATCCAAAAGCAATTATATGTTTGGGAAAGTCACCATTAAGATAGGGCGAGTCTTCGGGAACTGTCACTGCTTTCTATGTACGTTTCAACTGTTAGTAGTTTTAATAAGTAATACTCCGTATATTATTATACACAAACAAATACAATGATCTGGGTTTCATGCAACAATCTTCTTGTTACATCACATTTAATGATTTATTTTGTAAACAATAATGTACACGAAGACAAACAAGGGCTTACCCTTGTATAAAACAAAAAATGTGATCACAGAACCAAAACCAAAGGAAAGGACCCAAACAAAAGCCGAAGTAGCTGCAGCTACCAACACATCACATTACATCAAGCATAGACAAGTTAGCTAACTCTAAGGCCTCCCACCAAATGAACCTAGCAACATCCACTTTTGACAATAGATTGGTTCTAATGCAGTCTTGTGTTCCTCTCACACCAGATTTGCCAAATTATAGTTGGAAATAGTCTTTCTCATATGATGCAAATCATCATAGGCAGCCCAACAATTGTGACATATAGATGTGATCTGTAACCCTCTAAGCCTCAAATTTTCCAGAGAAAACAATCTGTTCTGAATTGCAAAGCAGCGAGTAATGGAAGCTCCAGGCCTGCATACACTCCAATACACATTATACCAGTTAACTGCAGGCTGTTTGGTTCTGTGATGCTCCCAGGCACTCTTAAAATTATAACTGCCATGATTCCAAACAACAGATTCATTCCCAGAATGAATAGGAACATATCAACAAAATTTCTCATTTGATTAATTCGAGAATTTTGCATTCTTTGTCGGGCCCAATTCTCTATATGGTTTATATCCAAACCTGGAATTTGATGTTCTGAAGCAAAATATTTGTAACTTCAGGACACCAACCCTTGTATTTCCTCTTGAACCAACCAATCCACAGAGTATTTTAGTCTTCATTTGCAGAAAATTGAAAACTCAAGAAAAATATTTTTTTGAATGAAAATTAAATTGAATAATTAAATCAAAAGAATTGATTTGAGCTGTTCATTACTCACAATCTATTTATGTAAATTAGTATGTCGGCTTAATCTAGCTTCTATGGGATACTGAAAAGTTAAAGATAGATCTACTAATTTTATATTTTATACAAAGATTACAACATCACTCAGGATTGAATAGTTTAGATTAGGTGTTCCAGTAGAGTTGGTCCCATCAATCGAACGGTCTCAATTGCACCCAACAAACATAGTAAACTGCTTTCTTGAATAGTAGTACAACCAATCAACCCACCCTTCCGTCTTGAATAATGATTAGTATATGAGAGAAATGAATAAAAAATGAATTTAAAAAAAGGGGATCATTAATTGTACGAGGAAAATGACACCAAGCTCTCTCTATATATCTACTGAGAGTTAGATGTATAATTGAACCCTTACTAATTCAATAAATGGGATCAATTTGGATCACTTGGTTGATTTTTTGGGGCAGATAAGGCAAAATTTGAATTGTCCAGTTTGTTAATTTCGTCAACCAGGCCATTAATGCCAAATAGTTTACTATGCTGTTGCCATATCTTACAGACTGGTTTTCAGCTTCGGCCTGTTTTGCTTCTCTCTTCCTTTATACTTAAATCTGTTGTTGAAAACAAAGTTAAAAAGAAGGTTCATACAAATAGAAGTACTAAGAAATATTTAGAGCATCATAATGTTGAGAGATAAATAATAAAATGAAATTACATCGGCTTGCATAGATTATTAGAGATCCCAAGATCTCATATGCTTTGTTACAAACCATCAGTTAGACGAATGAACATCTCTAAGTTTTGGCCCGAGACATAGAGCATCATAATCGCTGGTCTTCTATTCCAAAGATCCATTGTTCTTCATCACAGAGTCTTAATAACTCATTTGATAAGTAATCAATTGTTATTTATTCACATTCCGTTTGTTGGAGGTTGCAACTTGGCCAGGACCAGTTCATATAGTGGGGTAACAGTCCATGTTTTTCAAAAGGTACACTTCATAGACAAAAGCAGCAAATGAAGCATCCTATGTAATAAAAATTTCAGTCTCGTTCTTAATCTAATACTGTAGTTCCTATATTATTTCCATTGTTATAATAAAACCACAATATCTCTCAATTCTACAAATTTTTATTTGTTAAACAAACTTTATATGCAGAATATACCTATGAATTTAATTAGGCTCTAATACTTCAGCATAAAGGATCATCACTGCAAATGTTCAGTGGCATTAATGTATTTCTTCTCTCATACTTTGTATTTTAGTGGGTGATTATTTCAGTAACTTGTGTCTCAGAAGTGGAACATCTAATTCCCTTTTATTCGTGTAACTAAAACTGTAAATGGTCATTGACATTAATGTATATCTGTTACATAGTTTAGTTTATTAAAAAAATATTACCAACTAAATTTTTTTGCTGTGTTTTCAGTTTTGTTTGGCTGCTTGGAGTCTCACGTTCTTACAATTTGAGTTTGGTGGAATATGCCTTGGTTGTGTTAGTATTTAAGCTTGATGGGAACTTTGTACTTTGAACTCTTTAACGAATATGAAATAAGTTTGGGATTTAGCTGTGTTAATGTGTAATTTCCAAATTTACTTTGATGAATTTTCAGTTTCATTGCAAAAAAAAATGGGATTCTTTTTGGGTTTCCGTCATATGATTGAATGTTGCTTGTATGGTATGGATTTCGGTTGGTACTTAATTTGGCTAAGGAAGGTGATGATTAACTTTGATGGAATAGGAAGGAATCTGACTGGTGGGATATATATGCAAATTAAGTATGTGTGATGTTGTTTGGTGGAGTTTATGCAAACACAACCAAGGCTTGGTGTGGATATGACCTTTGTGGAGTTTTTGTAGTTGAGATTGATGGGATATGTTTTGGTTGTGCATAGGTGTAATAGGTGGTGTTGATGAGTGTTGTTCGGTTGCTTTATAGGTTTTTGTATTGGGACACAAATTTTAAAAAGGCATTTAAAAGAAAATAAAACTACTTCGTACTAGAGGCAATGCCTAGAAAGTCATTTATCAACCATAATAGGGATAACGAGAGCGGCCTGAGCCCATCGAAGAAAGCCTTGAGGTCCCTTTCCCAGGCAATTTTGTAGATAATTAGTCTGTGCATGTGGTACAAAGGAACTTCGTGTGCTCGGTAAAGAATTATGGAGTACGGTAAGAGACCGACAATATTATTATCGGCCAAAATATATATATATATATATATAGACCAAGCAACAACTATTCGTGAAAATACTCCGTACAACTCAAACGCCACATTTACTGTTAAGGTTCCTATCCAGATGTGGATTGAACCATTGTCATATACCAAGGCATATTCGACCTATATAATTCAACACAAGTACTCTAAGAAAGTAAAATGCATATATATGTTTTGGATCAAATATCAAGTTAAATCCTAATTATATTACGCCCATTCATATTGAGTCCAACCTAGATCTATGGTGAATCTTTTAATATCCATATTTTGCCTATTTTATAATTTGGACTCAAAATCTAAAACCAGATCCATTAAGTTAAATTTCTGATTGAATTATATTTTTGGTCACTCCAGTTCTATTTCATACCCTAATAAAATTAGCTAAAAATCCACACAAAACCGTAAAAATCCACATCACCACAAAAAAGCTATTAAATACATTCAAAAAAAAAAAATGCTATATATAAATTTAAAAACCGCTTGAATAGATCAAACATATTATTCGACTTATGCATTGATGTGGATTTTGATGGCGACAAGAAGTTTCATCCTAAAAAAAGTTTGTAGCACTCATTCTTAATAATATCAGCTGAAAAAAGCATGCAACCTATAGCTTGTATGATATCCACCGTACCACATTAGGATGCTAACTCATTTTCTGCTAAAATGGATGCAATTCACCTAATATTATCCTCTCATTCTCTCTCTATAAATCCTCTCAATCTCTCCTCCATCTCCAACACAACACAACATTCAAGCCCACTCCTCCATTTAATTAGTTCATCTCTGTATATCTATTTCTTATAAGCAACCCTTCAAGCTCACACCAAAAACCAAGAAAATGATGAACCTAATTCTCTTCTCTCTCTCACTTACACTACTATTCCACTCCCATTTCAGCACAACCCAAGCTCTGTCCCCGGCAAAGTCCCCTGCAGCGTCCCCTCCAGCACCCCCGTTAGCACCAGTACCGGCACCGACTGCTACCCCCACGGAAGCGCCCACAGCATCAACTCCCTCCGCCGACATCACCAAAATCCTCGGAAAGAGTGGCCGCTTTACGCTCTTTCTCCGGCTTCTGAAAAACACCAATGTGGGTGAGACGATCAATTCCCAGCTCAGCAACTCAAACAGTGGCCTGACTGTATTTGCACCGACGGATAGCGCGTTTTCAACCCTCGGACTGGGCACTCTCAACTCTCTCCCTGATAAACAGCAAATCCAGCTAGTGCAGTTTCATATCTTACCCAACTTCTTCTCCATAACACAGTTACAAACTGTGAGCAATCCATTGCGGACACAAGCCGGAGAAAATGGTCCCGGTGAGTTCCCCCTTAACGTGACCACCGTCGGCAGCCAAGAGAAGTTGTCGACGGGCCTTATGAACACTACAATAACTGACACACTCTATACGGACAACAAGCTTGTTGTGTATCAGGTGGACAGTGTGCTTCTTCCTTCCAAAATTTTTGGTTCTCTGGATAAGAAGGCGACACCCGTTGCCGCAGCCAACAGTCCAACCTCCTCCTCCGATTCCGATGACGATGCAAAGCCCGTTGCCTCTGGTGCAGTTAGTCTCACCATGCATGGAATGGTGGTAAATATTGGAGTTGCTGTGGTTGCATCATTTCTTTTGTGACAATAGACGGTGATGATTGTGCCAGCTGGAAATACAGGGAGTTGGGTCTGGAGTCCATTTGTTTGGTGCCTATATGATTTGCTGAGTCAGATTGAACGGTGGTGATCGAGGCTGTGAGTGCCTCCCAATAATTGTAATATTTTAAATTTTTTTCCCCCTACCCTTTTTGATCTGTATTTTTCTTTCATTTGTTTTTGCTGTTCCTTGTATTTCTTTTGTACTTTCTGTTACTTGTACATGATTTTCATGTAATTTGTGTTTCTTTGTTTCTTTTCCAACTTTCATGCAGTTTGAGATTGTGCACCATTTTTACCAGGAATGCTTTTCAATCAGTGAATTTAGAACAATTGACTGACGTGTTAAATGAGAGCTCCACACCTTGCAAAAAAAGTATTTAATTTTTGTTTTTTACCTCATCGAGTTCGTCGTTAGGAAATTAGAAAAAGGGAAGAATTGAACTCAAGATCATAAGGTGGAGCAGTGGAGCACTGAAACGTTTTGGCCCTTTCCATTCCGACAATACTACCACACTTATCTAAAAGTAGGATTCAAATTGCAATACCAATAGCATTTCTTATGTTATTTACTATTTAGAACATGTTGGGTTACACATATGGAGAGCTAAAGTTAGACAAAAGAAATAAAATGCTTTTTTATTTGTAAATAAAGACAAAAAAAATGCTGTTTTTTTATTTGTAAATAAAGACAAAAAAATGCTGTTATAACAGTCAAGTGTTCCCCCCGCCCCCCACCCCCCCCGGGGCCGCTTTCTTTCCCTATGGACACGCTAGGGAATGAATGAGATAGAGGAAGCATAAATTCCAAATGGATAGTGCAATGACAAAAATTCTTCTACTATAATTTAAAAGTTGAAAGGTAGAATCTCCTTAATTCATTTTAAAAAGTTTCTCATAATTGTGTGTGCTTGTTGGACGAATATACTACATGTGCTTATTAGTGATTATAAAATGTTCTAAGAGTTACTAAAAAAAAGAAAGATACAAGTAAAAATATATTCATATGTGGATATATATTCATATATATCCACCATTTAAATGTTAGGATTCCAATCCATATGTGGATATAATCCATGTCATATATCAAGGCATATTCAACCAATATAATCAACACAAATATTCTACAAATATTGTGCATATTACACGAGTTTTATACCAATTTGGTATATAATATATATCGCCAATACATTTGGTCAGTTGTCAGCTTTTTATTACCTTCTGCGTTACCAATAGAGAAAGACTTTCTTACACTAATTATACCGACCACATCATCAATTATATCCACCAATTATATTTTGTCATATAAGAAAAAATGTATTTATTTAGTGGTTTCCATCACTACGTATCATCAATATAACAGGAGAATTAAAGTTTTTCTCTAATAGACCAGCAGCAAGATAAGTATTATGTTTTCCATGGTCTCCTCTGTAACTCATAAAAATGTTGGGCTATGGTTTTGGGCCTATCTGTTGGACTAGTTGTTGTTTAGTTTGTGTTGCGCTTAGTCTTATAGCCTTGTTGTTGGGTCCTTCTGCCTTAATGGGCCAAACTGTACATACTTATCTATATTCAATTTGATCAAACTCGAATTTAGGTTCTATGTTTGAAAAAAAAAAAAATTAGGTTCTATGCAAATTCACCCAACCTCAATGTCGACCCGGCCATTTGGGTTCAAACCACCCATAAAATTCCCTAGTTGCCCAGTTGATGGGTTCTGCATTGTTTGCAATTTGATGCTTGCAAATGAAATTAAAAATCTATCCCAAAACATTGGCATTTCGAAGTCAATCTTCCAGCCACTATACAAGTTGATATTTGTCTTCCAATGGTAATTAGCTACAGATGTGATGCAACGGAAGAATGCTATATTGATAATGTTATAAAAATTAACGAGTCAGTGGCCTAACGGTATTGACTTTTTATTTTTCAAAGGATTGTCAAAAATTTAAGAATCTGAAGAATAATCTTGCCACCACTCGTGATTGTTGCTCAATATTGCTTGATTAGATCAAACATATTATTGGACTTCTTCATCGATTTTGATTGCCATATAAATTTTCATCCTACCTAAAAAAAATTGTTGTAGCACTCATACTTAATATATCAAATGATAAAACCACGCAACCTGTTTGATATATATCCACCGTACCACATTAGGATGTGAACTGGTTTTCGGCTGAAATGGGCACTTCACCTAACACCATCCTTCCACTCTCTCCATAAAGCCTCTCAATCTCTCCCCCTCTTTCTCATCTCCAACACAACACATCTTTCAATCCCACTCCTCCATTTAGTTAATCTCTATTATATCCATTAATTCACAGCAACCCTTCAAGGCCACACCAAAAACCAAGAAAATGATGAACCGAATTCTCTTCTTTCTCTCATTTACATCACTATTCCACTTCCATTTCGGCACAACCCTAGCTCAGTCCCCAGCAGCGTCCCCGGCAGCACCCCCGTCTTTATCGACTGTTCCCCTCACGGCAGCGCCCCCAACGCCTGGTACCGCCAACATTATCAAAATCCTGGAAAAGGATGGCCACTTTACCCTCTTTGTCCGGCTTCTGAAAAATACCCATGTGGGCGATCAAGAGCAGGGCGAGCTCAGGGACTCAAACAATGGCCTAACTCTATTTGCACCTTCCGATAGCGCGTTTTCGACCCTCACATCCGGCACTATCAACTCTCTCAACGATCTACAGCAGACCGAGCTCGTGCAGTTTCATTTCCTACCTACCTTTATCACCACAACACTTTTCCAAACTGTGAGCAATCCATTGCGGACACAAGCCGGTGATACCGCTCCCGATCAGTTCCCGCTTAACGTGACGACCACCGGCAACCAAGTGACGGTATCAACCGGCGTTATGAAAGCTTCAGTATCTGGCACAGTCTATACGGATGGCAAGCTTGCTGTGTATCAGGTCGACAGTGTTCTTCTTCCTTCCAAAATTTTTGGTCCTCAGGCGAAGAAGGCGATACCGGCCGCCGCCGCCAACAGTCCAACGTCCTCTTCTTCCAATGACGGTGCAGACGCCGTTGCCTCTGGTGCAGTTAGTCTTACTACCATGCATGGAATGGTGGTGACTATTGGAGTTTCTGTGGCTGCAGCATCATTTCTTTTGTGACAATAGACGGTGATGATTGTGCCAGCATGGACATCTGGAGTTCATTTGTTTGGTGCCTGATATGATTTTGCTGAGTCAGATTGAACGGCGGTAATCGACGCTTTGAGTGCCTCCGTAATAATTCCCAAGTGTAAAGATTGAACCATGAGTTTCATTTTTTTTTTTTTTTTTTGTAATTTTGATCTGTATTTTTCTTTCATTTGTTTTTGCTGTTACTTGTATTTCTTTTGTTATTTTCTGACTTTGATGTAATTTGTATTTCTTCTTTTCCAACTTTTGCGTAATGGGAGATTGTGCACCATTTTTCCAAGAATGCTTCAATCAGTGGAATAAGAATATCAAACCATTTTTTCATACAATTCTACACATTTTTAATTAGAGTTCAAATATGAAAACTCTGACATTTACAACATATGAGTGTCATTTACTTATCTTATTTACAACATATGGGGCGACAACTAATTATCAATTGTCACACAAATGGAGGGATAAAGTTAGAATAAAGACCAAAAAAAAAATACTACATCTTGGGATAGTCTAAGCTCATAGAAACTAGAGAATGAAATAGAACAAGCTCAAATTAAATTTTAAAGGAATAGTCTAATAATAAAGATTTTGGTTGAGAGTTCGAATCTCATCAGTACCACTTTTAGAGATTTTTTTTCTGTATTTGCCCAATCTATGTGAGTTGGGGGTATTGCCTGTACTCGAAAGTGAATTAAGGAGTATTTTAAGAAGTCTGACACCACCATAATTGATAAAAAATAAAAATAATATAGAGCAAGCAACATCATATTCTTGTAAATCCAATTCCATCCCCAACATTGTTGTGTTAAGATTTCTATTTGGATGTGAATCAAATCCATGTCATCTATGGAGGCATATTCCACCTATTTAATCAACAAAAATATTCCCATAAAGATAATTTTATTTGGCTGATAAATAAAATGAGCTGATATTGGCACTCCACCAATGTGCTAATGCGCTCCATTATAGTTTTCTTTTAAAATTAATTTACAAAAGAGTCCTTGCATCAAAGAATACTTATTTTTATGACATAATTACCTTTCTTTTTAACATTTAACATATTAGTAGTTAGATTTTACCTTTGCTCATTTGTATGTGATTAGGAATTAAAAAAAGTATTTGAGTCTAAAACAAACTTTATAACAATGAATGAATATATATTCCATTATAGAGAAGATATTTAATTGAAAGCAAATTAATTTATACTATAACCGTAATTTTTAATTGATTTTATTTTATTTTATAAAGGTACGTTTAATTGAATTAAAAATCAAAAGAAAATCTAATTTTACTCAAATAGAAACTACATATGTGTTTGATACACCGATTTAAGTCAAAATGAGTCCTATCACATTGAATTTCTTTTATAAGTCATTCTTCATTTCAAATTCTCAACATATAAATATAAGTTCGTTACATACCTTAAGGAACCTTACAAAATAATTCAAGTTACTACAAAATAATATAGTCTCAATTACAATCACTAAATATACAAAGTTATACAAAAAAGGACTCGGTTACAAAAGGTGACAAAATAGATCTTCTAAATCCCGTCTAAGCCTGTGGTGGAACATCATTCGCCACTTCCCTTCCGAGACCTGAAAAATGTTAATAATAAAGGGGTTAGTAAATTGCTCAGTAGGTGATGCCTAAGACACACCTCTTGTGACCCTATGAATCCAGACAATGAATAGAGCAAAAGAGAACGGGATCATACAACTCCGGGGAAAAAATATAACCATAATATCAATAACAAACAATCCAAGTCCTAACGAGTCATGCCATACTATGGAATGCAATACCATGCCATATCACTCCCTATTCCTAAAACCTTTTCTGTCATCATTTCCAAACCGTTAATGCAACCCATCCTATGGCAGCTCCATGGCGACATGAGAGAAAGATTGGCTAACTATCCCTGACCACAAGGTAACTTCAGGGTGTCATTTGGGTTCCAGTTAACTCAACCACGTTAGGGCAGTCTCCCTAGTTCCCTCTAGGTCACATTAACGCCACGGTCCCAAGGCAACTCCTAGGTGACCGGGTTTTCGCAAACTTTTCGTCAAAACTTTTTTCCCAAAATTATTTTCTTTCCTTTTTAAATCACATCCAATGTCATGCATGTAATACATCATGTCTTTCAATGCCATACCCATGGAGGATTTCATGTTTCACAAATCAGCCATTAATAATATAACATGCCTTGTAGAGAATTTCAAAAAAATAAACATCATGCTTCCATATCACAACATCTAGCATTTTCCACACCATAGGCAAGTAATATCATCAATTAAGCATGCTTTTTCATATAATTTTAACTAACACATAGTCACATGCTTCACAAAATTTCTATGGCATAATTCATACTTTCAAGTCATGAAATTTAGTACCAAAGATACAATGAGCACAAATTAATCATCAATTACGCATGTTTCATCATCATATATACCAAGCAACACATAGTCACAACTTTGGCACAACATATATACAATATAGCATGAAATTTCCACAAATCAAGCATGCTAACCACAATTTTAAGACGATTAATTCACAAAAAGCCCAAGAAAAAGTAAATTAGAAACTCTTACCTCTTATAATGCAAAACCCCCAATTCCAAGCCCTATATTTCGAAAATCCTATGGTGGCCAAAAGTGTGAATTGTTCATATCAATGTGTAGATCTCGCCGTGCTCTCCGTTTTACCGCAAACGGCACCAAAAATCTCCAAATGGTTGGAGAAAAATCAAAGATTGAAGTTGTGAAGAAAAAGGAAAAAGAAAAAGTGAAAAAATGAGAGAGAAGAGAGAGCTTACGAGAGAAGGTGAGAAAAATGAGACCAAACATGGTCTCATGACCATCAAAATGGGTGATGGTGGGTCCCCTCTAAAAGATTTTTCTTTTAATTTTAATTTCTACCATAAATTCATATATATATATAGGCTACTTATTTTACAACCACACAAAATGATATACAATCATAAAAATATGCATAAAATAAATATGCATGGAATACAATGTACCCAATTAAAATCCCCATATGCAACAATTTCGGTAGTGGGTCCCACACGGGACCGTCCGGCCATTACATTTCAAATAGTCCTGAACTCAATGAAATTCCTCAACCAGCTCTCAGACACACCCGGTGTAATACCCCTAATTTTAAAATGATAGTCTCGGCATTTTCATTTTTCTTTATTGCATTTTTTTTTTTTTTTTTTTTTGTTTCAGTGCATTTTATTTATTTGTTTGTTTTGTGATTATCTGCGTAATTAGTTAATTATTTAATGCTTATCTAATTGTGTTAATTGTTTATTTTCTGTGATTGTTTAATTAGCTTCATTAATTAATTAGTTGGATTTTATTTGTTTTATTACTGCTATTATTTACTAAATTGTTAATAATATTACTTATTTTAATTAATTAGTTAAATTGATAACTATTTATTTACGTTGTGTATCGTGACTTAGGTTTTAGGTTTCAATGTGTAGCCGACTTAGTATTAAATTAATTATGGTATCAGTTTTATTCGTGGATTACAATTAGAATTAGGTTAGAGGGTTTATAGGTCTATATATATACATGTATACGTTCTGCCTAGGGTTGAAACAAACCTTATTCTCGGGGTGAGAGGTAGAGAGATACAGAGGAGGAAACACAGAGCAGTTCAAGGAGAAAGGAATAGGGTTGTTTCTGGGTAGATCCAAAGCACCGGAGGAGTAAACCTGCAGTATAGGACACTAACGTAGCATTCAGAAACTATGGAATTAGAGTTTCAAATCTGAAACTTAAAGGCAAGTTCTTTTCTTTCTTCTTCCCTTTCATGTGTTCTGTGCACCTAGATAGCCTCTAGGATTTAATTAAGCATTAACTGAGTTTCTTATGTATAATAGATGTTATATCAATGTTCTGTAGGTGTTAAAATTTATACAATTACAGTTCGTGCATATCTGTTATCTGTATGTTTCTTAAAGCATGAGAAATCTGTAGAACTTGTAACCTCTGTATTTGTTTTCAACTGCTATAAACACATCTTTGGGGATTATACTGGACATAGTTAGGACTCTTAGGACCGGCTTAAAACCAAATAAACAGGTTGAGAATGGCCGGAAACACTGCAGAAAGTCCCAGGGCTAACAGAGGTTGAAGAAGGCTCGAGGAGGAGGAGAGAGATGGCTCTGGAATGCAAAGAGCCGGCTCCCCCATTGTAGAGCCGGCTCTAGGATTCCAAAGAGCTTGCTCTTTAAAAATTAGAGCAAGCTCTCTCTTAAACTGCTTCCTGAAGGTGTAATTGATAAACTGTTTGGAGTTGTTTGAGTGTCTGAACTGTGTTGAAAATTCCGGGACCTTCCAGAGTGATTAAGAAGCTAATTTTGAGTGTTAATAGGATCCTTGATTGATCAAAGCTTGCCTTTGAATTAACGGAACAAACTATATAAAAGTTACGCACATTGTATACGGTTAATGGATGGAAGAAGACTTGGTTGCTTAGGCTAAATTTTGGAATCCTGTGGAATGTCATGTGTTTATATACTGATTCTAAATGCATATTAGGGTCATCTGCTTATTAAATGTGTTATATGCATGCTCTGGATATTAATGGTTGAAAGATTTAATCTTTTTCTGCGATTACTTGAATTATTGCTCGGATTTAAATTGCTAGAATATTAACTGTTCTTCTGCAATTACTTGGATGAGGGTTTGGATTGTAAATCACTTAATAATTATTTATGTGTTATAATCTACATGGCTATGGAAGATTGTATGCACCGGTATGGAATGGTGGCATACTAGAGATGGTTTAGCTTAAGAACGCTAACCTAACCTACCGGATGGAAAGTATGGATTGTAAAATATTGAATCCATTAATGTGTTTAAGTCGAATCAACTGACTAGGTTAAGTGACTTCCTGGATTAATTGATTGTAGTTAAGCCACATCAGCTGAATAAGTTAAGAGCTTATTTGGACGGTATTTTGTATGTCTCCTCATTGAATAATTGAATGACATACTATGATTCGGACGGACTTTAAATATATGATTATGGTACCACGATATGAGCTTGAGTCTTAAAGTCGTTGGTTAGGGTACGTATATGCAGTGGATGCGTAGCTGGATATAGTAGGTAAGTGTACCTTGTTAAGTCTAGGTACTCATGCCCATCTTTGGGTGCGTTTTTGCATGTTGCCTTCTATTCAGATTGAGACCCCTACTGTAGTCCAGTGAATGTCCTTAGTGTGTATATATATGTATATTTATGGATTATCTAGTTATGTTGATGGTGTCTAGGATGTATCTGCGTATCAGGCACTGTATGGATTACAGTTAGATTAGGACTTGCATGTGGGCCTAACCCACTCTTTTGTTTTTCAGGTGCTCGTCAGTTCTAGGGTTAGAGCTTGGTCGTGCAGAGCAAATACGAACTTCCATTCCACCGACTACGTAGGACTCTCTCCATAGCGTATCACTGGATGTTTCTTTCAGTTGTTTTTATTTCAGTTTGGATTATTATTTAGGGGTCCACTAGAGATGGATTCCCGAGTTGTAATCATAGAGGTTTTGACAGTTGGATTTTACTAAGTTTTATCGGTTGAGGATTTTATATTAGTGTTCTTTTCAGCTTTTATTATTTATTCCTATTTCATTTTGTCATTTGTGTTCATTTTAAAATACTTTAATTGTTTGATATTCCCTCGAGTTTGGGCTTGGGCCTGATCAATCCGTGTCACGGATCCGAGAGGTATCACACCCAGCACACTCCACTGTGTCCGGCATGTAAAATGAGAAAAGATGAAAGTACTCTCGAAAAATCAGAAAATTCCAGAAAATGAAAAATGGCGAAAATTGGAAACACTACAATTTACCTCAGGGAGTTATCAATTTAATTTGAAATTGTGGCTTATAATGTTCATAATGTTAGGTTTATAATTTTTCTCTTTTCTCGGTGTGAAAAAAGAAAAATAATACAGTTTAAACTAAAATAATGCTTGAAAACTAAACAACATTGAAATATGATAACAACAAGACCAAGCCACCAAGAGACTATGGTTGGAAACGTTTGGACTGGGAGTGTTTGGACAGTTAGGCTAACTGCACTCAGCTCAGGTTTTTGGAAGCAGCTTCTAAAACTAAGGGATATGGCAAGAGGTATTATAAGGTATAAGGTGGGGAATGGAGCTGGTACCATGTTATGGTTTCTAGTTACCTGATGGTCCTATAGTTAGGCAACTTGGCCTGAATGATATGGAAATTCTTCAACTGGACACCTTTGCCATAGTACATAGCATAATTTCCATTAATCATTGGTTGGTCCCCCCCTCAATTCAGTACCCACAGTTCTTCCAATCCCAAAGATTCATCAACCAGCTACTCTCTCTTCCTACACCATCTGATGAGCTTGATAGCATTGTGTGGTTACCCAGTCCCACAGAAGGTTACTCATTTTCCCACACTATTTCTTACTTCCTTCCTCCATCCCGGCTCTATATTTACTTGGAAGCATCTTATGTGGTTTAAGCACCACATACCAAAGCACAACTGCATCTCTTGGCTAGCTGTGAGAGGAAGGCTTTACACCTTTGATTCTAAGTCAATGCTCAATCAACACTATGTCAATTGTTGTTATATTTGTTTAGCAGAAAATGAATCTATGCGCCACTTGTTCTTTAATTGCACTTAGAGTTCACGTGTGTGGAGTTTCATTCAAAACACTGCTCGGTTCTACATTCTTCCTAATTGTTGGACAGATTTAGCCCAATGGTGTTCAAACCATTGGAACTCATCTAATTTTTTGACTCACAAGCTTCTATAGTCTGCTGCAATCTACTTCCTATGGCAGGAGAGGAATGCAATAGTATTCAGGAATGTTGCATCTCCTCCACAACACATAATCTCACAGATCAAGTCATGTACAGAGTAAGACTTACTTCTATCAGGCTAAGGAGGTCTTCAGATCTGAGGCTCATTTCAAGTGAACCATACCTTTACAACCTTTTTGTGCAGGCCTGCTCTAATTCATGTGGGCACAATTGGTTACTTTCATGAGGATACACAGCCTATCAACATTGGAGTCATCCACAAAGATGGATTAGGATACCAACTCTCTTTTTTTCTGGTTGAATTTTTGTTTGTTGTTTTCTGTTAGAGCTGGAGTCTAAGGTTAAGGTTCAATCTTACTGGTATTGCTTAATGGCCTCTGGGAAGGCATTGTTTGTTTCTTCTTGATTTCTTCTTTGTTTACATGTTTCTCTCCCCTCCTTGGGGTTCCATGTGCATTCTCTTTTATCTATACACAAACTTACCTTTTAACCAAAAAAACATTGAATGAAGATCAATAATTTGAAAGTCAAGAATTCTTAAGGAAAGACAATTATGGTATTAAAAGTGTACCAACTAAGTATTTTATAATTTAGAGACTCTTTGGGAATTTTATTTCAGGCAAAAAAGGGAGTGGAGCGCTTGAGAAGAATAGTAGTGATAAACAAATAGTAACGCTCTACAATATGTTACTTAAAATTAAATTCAACAAAATTTGGATATTTGTCGGAACCCAAAAATCCAAAATTTTAATTGAGTGACTTTCCTTCAATCTGTATTATATGAAAATATATAATAGTACTTTACCAAGATGAACTTGGAGAGGGATATTTAAGTTACTTGATCAAAACAAGTAGATAGACCAATTTACATTTTAGTGCTCTTATTACAACGGGTGGTCGGTTATTCATTTATTCAAATAATTTAGCTATTGAGTAGTACTGCATAGTCATTTATTTATACCCATTTTATTTTCTATTTGGATTCGTTGTGTGACAAATCTCCTCTGCTGACGTACACCTATTCAGATGTGCATGGAATTCATGTAATGTCATATATAATAAACACAAATATTTTTAAAAATTAAATAAAAATATTTAATTTGAATCCTATTAAATTTTTTTAAAAAAGAAAAAAAGCATAAGCCACAAGTTTTTTTAATTAAATTTTCGTCTTGCCACTGCTCGTGATTGCTGCTAAATACACAATACCGATTGGATCCGAACTCTCTTACCAAAAAAAAAAAAACTGCTCTAATAGTTCAAACATATTCTTCTGACTAATGAATTGATGTCGATTTTGATTGCCACAGATCGAAGGTTCATCCTAAAGACAAAAAGGTTTGAGCACTCCTACTTATTATATCGAATGAAAAAAGCATGCAACCTTGTATGATATCCATTGTACCACATTAAGGATGCTAACTGGTTTTCTGCTAAAATGGAAGCATTTCACCAAACATTATCCTCCCATTCTCTCTCTATAAAGCCTCTCAATCTCTACTTCTCTTTCCCATCTCCAATTCAATACACTATTCAAGTCTACTCCTCCATTTAATTAATTAGTTCATCTCTATATACTATTTATTTCTTAGCAACCCACACAAAAATCCAAGAAAATGATGAAACGAATTCTCTTCTCTCTCTCCCTTACACTACTATTCCACCTCCATTTCAGCACAACCCTAGCTCTGTCCCCGGCACCATCCCCGGCAGTGCTCCCTGCACCTACTGTAGCATCACCGGCAGCATCACCGGCAGCATCCCCGGCAGCATCCCCAACACCGACTGCTCTCACCACGGCAGCCCCACTAGGTGCTACTACTTCCCCCAACATCATCAAAATCCTCGAAAAGGATGGCCACTTTACGCTCTTTGTCCGGCTTCTGAAAAGTACTCATGTAGGCGACCAGATCAATGACCAGCTCAAGAACTCAAACAATGGCCTAACTGTGTTTGCGCCGGTGGACACCGCATTTTCGAGTCTCACATCCGGCACTATCAACTCTCTCAATGATCGACAGCAGGTCGAGCTCATCCAGTATCATTTTGTACTTTCCTATATCTCCGCAACACTCTTCCAAACTATGAGCAATCCATTGCGGACACAAGCCGGAGACACTGGTCCAGGTCAGTTCCCCCTTAACGTGACCATCTCCGGCAACCTAGTGAAGTTGTCGACGGGAATTATCAACACTACAGTATCTGGCACAATCTACACGGACAACCAGCTTGCTGTGTATCAGGTGGATAGTGTGCTTCTTCCTTCCAAAATTTTTGGTTCTCAGGCGCTGAAGACGACACCCGCCACCACTGTCGACACTCCAACCTCCTCCTCCTCCGATTCGGACGACAGTGCAAAGCCTGTTGCCTCTGGTGCAGTTAGTCTCACCATGCATGGAATGGTGGTGACTATTGGAGTTGCTGTTGTTGAATCATTTCTTTTGTGACTATGCACGGTGATGATTGTGCTTACTGGGGAGTGGTAGGTCTGGGGTCCATTGTTTGGTGCGGATAAGATTTTGCTGAGTCATATTGAACGGTGGGGACCGACCTTATGAGTTCCTCCGAATAATTGTAACAGTCCAAGATATATATATATATATATATATATATATATATATATATATATATATATATATTTATATTTGTCTTTTGTTTTAAATTCCCTTTTGATCTGTATTTTTCCTTAATATGTTTTTGCTGTTGTTTTTCTTTTGTTCTTTTTCAAACTCCATGTATTTTCAGATTGTGCAGTATTTTGCCAAGAATGCTTTGAATGAAGTGACTCCGAACAAATGATTTTTTTAAATATTTTATTTGAGAGCATTAAATTTTTATTTTTGATTTAACATTTAAGGAAGTTGATTTCAAAATTTTTATTAATTTTTTTCTAATTCTAAATTTAAAAGATGATGCCTCTAATCATAGCAAAAGAGGAAATTACGTTGAATTTACCTAATATTTAGGTTAACTATTCAGATTAACTTCACCCTAACCAAGCTATCGGTGATCTCAATCGCACCATGAATGTTATTAATTTATGTCACACAAATGGACTAATAAAGTTGGACAAACGAAAGAAAAAAAAATGTGATTATATCATCTATCGACAGTTGTGACGTTGATAGAAAATAAGGAGTGAAAAAACCAATTGAAATTCAAAAGGAAAAGCCAAACGAAAAGACTCGTCTATTAATTTATTTTAAGGCACATACAAAATTCCGTACCACATGTAATCGTCAATTATCGAAATAAATTGTGCACATCATTGTCACCAATATACCTTAGAGAGCAAACCAAAGCATATTCATGTATTTTCAACTCCAACTCCAAATTTTTGTATTAATATTACTAGCTAGATGTAGCACGAATCCTTTTTTATATATAATCAACATAAGTATTCAAATAAAGTAAACTCTAAAGTGCCAAAAAAACACCAATTCTATATAAAAATCTTCAAAAAATACCGTTTCTATTTAGAATGTATATATAAATTCCTATAATTTTAAATTTTGTTCCAAATTACCCCGGCAATTTTATCCAATTTTTTGTAAAACTCCAAAATACCCTTAATAGCATTTTGGTTATTTTAGTATTCAAGAATTTTTTTTATATAAAAATCCGAAATTCTAAAAAAAAAATTGTAAAAACCTCGAAATACAGCAAAACCCAATATATATTTTTTTAAATATAAAAATCACATTTAAAAAAAAAAATCAAAATTTTAAAATTAGTGTTTTTTTTTTTTAAAAAAAAAAAAAGGGTATTTTAACTATTTTAATCTTCAAATTGAAAAATTACAATGAAAAATGTAAGATTTTTTTTAAGACCTGCGTTATTTGCACATTCTGATATAGCAAAATGGTTTATTTGCACTTTATCCTTAAGTAAAATATATATGTTTGATTTGGATTGGATATCGACTTAAATCCAATCGATTTTATGTCCAATTCTAGTCGAACCTAGACCTGTGGTGAATTTTTTTTTTCAAAGAATATCCATATTTTGCCTATTTTATAATTCGGATTTAAAATCTAAAACTTCATCCAATAAAATCGATTTTCAATGTAATATTTTGCCTATTTTATAATTCGGATTCAAAATTTAAAACTTCATCCAATAAAATCGATTTTCAATGTAATTAGATTTGTGGCTACACCAGTTCTATTCCATTCCCTAATTAATAGAACCACTAGCTAAAAGTCCACATTTAATCGTGACATATATCATAAAAATGCATTTCACCACAAAATAAGTGTAACAACAATCTTTTTCTTTTTCTGTTTTTTTGAAAAAAAAAAAAAAAAAATTTAATATCATCTTGCCACCTAAAAAAAATGCCATATACAAATGTAAAAACTGCTTGAATAGATCAAACATATTATTCGACTTACGCATTGGTGTCGATTTTAATGGCCACAACAAGTTTCATCCTAAAAAAAAGGTTGTAGCACTCATACTTAATAATAATATCAAATGAAAAAAGCATGCAACCTAGCTTGTATGATATCCACCGTACCACATTAAGATGCTAACTGGTTTTCTGCTAAAATGGATCCACTTCACCTAATTATATCCTCTCATTCTCTCTCTATAAATCCTCTCAATCTCCCCTTCTCTTTCCCATCTCCAACACAACACACATTCAAGTGCACTCCTCCATTTAATTAGTTTATCTCTATATATCTATTTCTTACCCTTCAAGCCCACACCAAAAACAAAGAAAATGATGAACCGAATTCTCTTCTTTCTCACACTTGCACTACTACTCCACTTCCATTTCAGCACAACACTAGCTCAGTCCCCGATAGCATCCCCGACAGTGCTCCCAGTACCAACTGCACCATTCCCGGTGGTAGCAGCGCCCCAAGTACCGACTGCAGTGTCCCCGGTGGTAGCAGCGTCCCCAGCACCTGCAGGTCCCCCCAACATCACCAAAATCCTCGAAAAGGGTGCCACTTTACGCTCTTTATCCAGCTAATGAAAAGTACCCATGTGGATGCTCAGATCAATTCCCAACTCAACGACTCAAATAATGGCCTAATTGTATTTGCACCGTCCAATAATGTGTTTTCCAACCTCAAGTCAGGCACTATCAACTCTCTCGATGATCTAAAGCAGGCCGAGCTCGTCCAGTTTCATTTTGTATCTACCTATATCTCCACATCGCAGTTCCAAACTGTGAGCAATCCATTGCGGACACAAACTGGAGACCTGGTCAGTTCCAACTTAACGTGACCATCGCCAGCAACCAATTGAACGTGTCGACTGGTGTTATGAATATTGTAAAGGTTCTTTTTATCAAAACAATAAATAAGTATGTAATGGTGATATCAAAGGTACAACTATAAAGGAAACAGAGAAGATGCTTGAAGTAGGAAGAGAAAAAAAAGACCAATCGTCAAGATTGAGATGGTGGTAGGGCAAGTATACAGTATCTTATGACAAATCCTCTTTTCTGGTTGTTTATTCCCTCATTGGATATTGCTATTTATAGGCCCGGATTCCATTGGTTATTAACTGATGGTTTCTTTCATGCTTGGCTCTTAGGAGTGATGAGCACCGAAAAGTGCGCATTTAAACCCGTTAAGCTTAAGCATTCTAGTACCTTTATCTATCTTACTTTGCCGCTTTAGACTTATTACGTGTTATTTATATTTTCAGGCACTAATCCGAAAATTGAGCTAACTCGGCCAAATAAGAGCTTAATTGAAGCAATCCTGAGATAAACCAAAGGAGGGAGCAAAGTGGAGAAACAAAGGAGCAAAAAAGGAATTAAGTTGTGCAGCTGAAAAGTTCGATCGATTCAACTTAGAGTTCGATCGATCGAACATCTATGATCGATCACAGTACTTCTCGATAGATCCAACCTTGGCCTTTGCTGAAATTCCAAGTTCGATCGATCCAACATCACCTTCGATCGATCGAACCCTATTTTGTCCTATTCAAATGATTGATCTTATCCACAGCTGTACGCCTACCAACCACTTTTGTCCGTTTCCCTATAAATATCTTCGAAATATCTCAGCCTTATCCTTATCCGGAGGAGTCAGACCACTTCGATCGATCCAAGATGCAGTTCGATCGATCGAACCCATCTTCGATCGATCCAAGTTAAGGTTCGATCGATCGAACTTCCTCCAGCGAGAAAAAGTTAAAGTCTAGCTCATTTATTCCGTCCTTCACCCAATCATTGGAGAATATGCCTTGCACGACCACAGCTCATCATAGGGTGTATTTGACCTACCTATATAAGGAATATGATACATTTTTTTGGAGAGGAGTCTAGAGTCTCTTGTCACACATTGAAAATCATCTTGGAGGCTATTCTTGGAGAGGAAGAAGGGAGGAAGCTAGAGCAACCATTGGAGGAGATCTTCATCTACAAGGAGCAGCCATGGAGTTAGCCCTTGAGGGTTGGATCATCACTACCATGAGTGGCTAGACATCTTCTTGGGGCTAGAGTTAGCCCCAAGCATGCTTTCTATACTCTAATCTTGTGTATTATTGAGGGATTAGTGTTGTATGATACATCTTGATATTCATGTATATATAAATCTTGATTATTTCATGGTTTGTATGGTTTAATGCTTCCAATTGACTATTCTATGCTACCCATATGTCTATGTATGCTAAAGTAGGATATTCATGTGCTTATCTCTAGATTTAGTGTTTTTGATGCATGTCTATGTGTATTGATGCTATAGATCTAGAGATTATCAAGATGATATGCTTAATGAATGCTATTTTGGTTCATTTGATGGTTTATGCCTATTCTTGATGGTTTGTGCCTCTCCCCTAGTCTAGATAGCTTTATTTTCATGCTAGTAGTGTAGATTTAGTGTAGTGGTAGTATAATGTTAGATGGGAGGACAATCTACTCTTGATGTTTGATGTTCCATGCTTGTGAGTCCAAATGGCATATTCCTCTAATATTGTGTTGCATGTGGATTGTGAGCTTAATGAAGGATTAATGACTTGTTTTGATCTATTGTGCTATCCCCATATTGTCTAGACAATATATGCTCTATTGCTTAGATATATTGTGCTCTTCACATGATGTTTAAACAATACTTGCTTGATTTGTCATCCTTGTCAATTGAATCAACCTAATGCACACACACCCTTATCATATTGCAACACATCCATTACCCTCAATTGATCACTTGTTAGTAGTATAGAAAAGTATTGCTTGGTGGTGATCTCTACATCCCAAGACCTCTCTCTCTCTTGTTTACCTCATATTATTTTATTTAGTTGAATTCAATTTAGCTTAATCAACCAACCAACTAATTGTGTGATCACTTGACTTACTAACCCTAATTACCATAGTTTCACAATTCGATACACCATCAAATCCCTTGGGATGATCCCTACTCACCCTATCTATATTTTATATAGAGAAAGGTAGTAGTGGCTTTCTATAAATGTAAAACTTGGCCACCTC